ACCTTCGATCCCGGTGAAAACGTGCTACGCTTAATATGAGTTATGTTCACTATATTTCGCTCAAGGTGATGAAGAACTGGTAGTTGAATTTTCCCATAATAAAATGAGTAGGGCCTGCGGTTTCATTGAATTTCATATGGCCTTGCTTTCCCAAAGGGTGTTCTCATCCAGAGTGGATCACAGTTTCGAGCTCGCACAGGTTTTATCAACACCTTTAGCAGGAGTCAAGTCCTGACAGTACAGTGTGTAATCTCGACACGTTAGTCACTGCTCCATATTGGAACGAGTGCCTTTGGGTCACAGAATAGGTATGAATTTCACGCAAGGTCAGGCATTTTTTCCATATCACATTCCTTGGTGGGATTGTCGATTATGCAAAGTTATATTTGCTATAACAATCGACTACATTACTTATTTTTCTTTAACAAGTAGGTTTTCGCAACTACCAGTAAAACAGTCATATGAGTGTATTCACCCTATTTCGTTTAAGGTGATGAAGGATTGGTAGTTGAATTTCCCACAATGATATGAATAGAGCAGACGTTTCCATTGATTTGCACATAGTTCCTACTCAGTTTTCTACACTCGTTCCTCCTATTCAGGACGCCGGCTGTTTTATTAATTCCTATAGACTCCCCAATCTTACGCTTTGACGTGAAGTCCCCGTAACCCGCAAGATGTTGTGTTTATGAGTGTCCTGTATTGGCCATGCATTCATCAAGCTCCGATTTTTGGACCCACAGACCTTTACAAGCGGTTTTGCGTTCGCATGGACTCTTCTGGATGGGTCGTCAGGTCTCCCCCACATATACCCTACCACAGCCTGATCTAGAAAAAATGATTGAATATTCTCTTAACGAAGCAACTACTTAAGAAAGTGTCAATTTCTCTTTATACATTGCTTTGATGTTCCAATTCCTAAGTAGCTCGCCCAACTTTTTCAGAAGCTGACAGTAAGGCAGAATCAGGAACCGAGTAGACTGGTTCAACTTTGTATCTTGTTTCAGATGGCAATCTCCCCTTATCTTCTTATTGACAATTGAAATGTAATTATTTGCTAATCTTAATGGGGCAGCTGATACTATTATAAGGAAGCTTAAGCTGAATTACGAATTTGTATTAAGGGCAGGTAAAGGAGGAGCAGTAGTAACCATGGATATGACTGATTATGTAGAGAAAATGTTGAAGGCATTAGACGATAATACAACATATAAAACTATAATTAGGGGCCCGACAGAAGGTCCTACGGTCAGACTTAAGGGTCTTTTACAACAATGTGTAAACAGTGGATAACTGGAAAATGGGAAAATGAACCTACTTCTACAGCGAGATGCTAGACCTCCAAATGCATGTGGTCTGCCCAAATTTATAATAAAGGTACCATACTTAGGAGTATTGTAAATAATAGAGGTAGCGTAATGCATAAAACATCACGATTTGTATGTACTCAATTAGAGAAAAGTTTGTAGGAACTTCTTGTGGCTGTTGGATAGACGTAATGAGAGAGAGCGAGAGGGAGTGCAGAAAGAGCCAATGAACAAGAGAAGAAGGCTGGCCAGCAATTTCCCACCTCTCATGACATGAACTTAACATACCCACAATAGACAATAGCACATACCAAACATGAGTCAACATTAGAGGATGGTGCGCAAGTTTATTTCTTCTTCGCTCATAAATAGGATTTGGAGACTACGAGTAAATCAGTAATATGATATGTATTCACCCAATTTCGTTTAAGGTGGTGGAGGACTGGTAGTAGAATTTTCCCACAATGATATGGGTAGAGCTGAAGGTTCCATTGAATTTCACAAAGCCTTGCTTTCCCAGAGGGCAAGGGTTTCCAGCGATGGATGGGGACATCCTTTGGGAAAGCAAGGCCACCTGAAATTCAACTGGAACGTCAGCTCTACCCATATCATTGTGGGAAAATTCAACTATCAACCCTTCATACCTTGGAAGAAATACGGTGAATACATCTAATATAATCAGTTTATTCGTTTCATGAAACATTTTCCACCGAATGCGAGGTTAGATGATTAAAAAGCGATTAAGGTTGCAGTCGGCCAACTTCTTTTGGTTTAGTATACTTTTGCTCTATTTCGTAAAGTATGTAATCTTGCTCTGATGACGTATGCGAAGAAAATTTGGGTTTCGAGAAACCTCTTGTTTCATAATTTTTGAGCTTACTTCCATTTAGAGTGAAAGTGTTGCGTGAAGAGATTCGTGTTTTATGCAAAATCGAACACAAACATGCACATACAAATACAGAGACAGACACACTCATATGCATCGAAGTTGACATATGACCTTAATTAACCCAATCACGTTATACTTGATCAAAGAGGCCAGATGTAGAGTATATATACCACTTTTTACGGATTTGACGGTAAGTTTTCTTGACTTGTTAGCTTGAATTTTGTTGTGACGATGCTACCTCGCTCTGATGATGTCCGTCGTTTGACGGACGAAAGCTCAGAACCTTTTCACCGGAACTGAAGGAGATTGCCTCGGAAACAGCGTCAGCATGAATCTTCCAGTATAGCCAATCGTCTTCTGGTGGAACCGACATTTGAATCTCTTCACCCATCGCGTCAAGATTTCCCTCCAACAAACTTTTCGTTCGAAATGAAAGTCATGTCACAATCTAATGACGTCTCTTAAATGGTGACTGTAAACTGTGCCCACATTTAAAGAATTATAACGAGATTGCCTCCAGAACAACGTCAACAAGAATGTTCCAAGGTGTCCACCGTCGTTTTATTGTGGGATCGCCCTTTGAAATTGAATTAAGCCCAACAAAAGATTCCTCCAAACCCGATTTTGCCTCGCATATGCGACTTGTTAAAATTCTCTTCGTACCTCAAAATCAATGAGACAGTGTCCGAATAAGAAATATCTCATCTCATAGACGTAGGATCAGACGTACCACATTCTCTTCAGCTTTCTTTTCCTATTCCCCAGAAAATAATCGTCAACATTTCACAACCGTTTCCCTCCACAGACGGTCCTAGCTGGCGCATAACCTTTGCTTCCTCTCAGGAAAAGTTGTCGCTGGGCCGTTCAATCCTGCCAGCCTCCTCAAGCGCTCTCGGCTGTCCCCGTCTGCATGCTCACTAAAGCTAAAACACGTCTGCTGATCCGTTGCCCAGGCAACTGTGTTGAGCCTAGAGCAAGAATTTGTCAAGTCATGCAGAGGCAGAAATTCCGTTTCCCCTCCCCTCCCTGTTTCCATGAGAAAGTCGTCAAAATACTAGCAAATACAACACATTGCCAGGTTCATGGAAATATGAAACTTGGAACAGATATTGAGACTGAAAGCCCCGAGCCAATGACATACAAAAGCAAAGGAAAGATTTATGAGAAGGCCGGCTTCCGTATGTAGAAATGTGTCCCCAACCGTGCCTAGGACGAGTGAGGATCCACTATCACCCAATCGCATGCGATTGTCGAAGAAAGTACACAACTGCAAGCATATCATGACTCTCAGTCTTGACATGGTAGATGGAGGAGGAATGCTCGTAATCTAACAGTCTCACGAGAGCCATCCAGACAAGTTCATCACGAATCATCCTCAAATGGAACAGCCCCAGACGTGGGGAGAAGGCCGGAGCGGGCTCATGTTGTGAAGGTTCTGCGGGCCATAAATGGAGAATTGGCGGATAATTGTGGTCATGAAGGATCTGCAAGTCTGCAAGCCGGTGATTGAGGCAAGAGCAACCAGGCCTACAGTAAACACATTTTCCAACCCCAGACTACCTAAAAATGAATCTTGAAGACACAGACGTCACTCATTAACTCATCACTTTTTGTCAAAATGTCTCAAATTACCCTTTAAGCACATACGCCCCCTTTCTTGTAGAAACTCTGTGCAGTATGAATAAGTAATTGGCGTCAGATAAACTAGAGACAGTAGATAAGAGAATGAGAAAGGCCAAAATGCATCTGTACAACTTGTTGAATTTTCCCTCAACAAATGTTGGTGTAAAATACTGTTTTTGTGTCTAACTTTCTGTCCGACCGTAATTCTCTCCCACCCTAGTAACCCGGTTGCCTTTTCTCATCTCTCCATAAATTCTGCCTTTCTTTTGCCAAATTCTAATTTGGCCATTTTTGCTGTGCTGTAATTACAATAAGCCGGTCCGGTGGAGTCGGAAAAGTTGTAGCATCTCAAGCCTCACCCTATTTTGCCCAAGGGGATAACATACTTCATCCAGGCAATATTTAAACCATTCAAGAAATAATGAGACATTTTGTAAATGCCACGTCTGTCCTAATGCTTATCTCTTCTTGATCCACCTCAATGAGGCGGCCGTTTTAATCGGTCCTTCTGATGCAAGCAGTAATGCGACTCTACAGTTGTGCTTTATCATTGTTGCCCTGAACTGCTTAAACTGGCCCCAGTTTCAGCCATCACCTCTTCAAACAATGGCTGTCTATAGCATAAAGTTGAGGTAGCGCTGTCGAAGAGCCTAGAAGCAATAGTCATTTTGGGCAGTCGTCCTTTCATTTAACAGAAAGCAAACGCTTCCACGCGAACGAGAGGAGTGAACCATGCCTCGGAGAAGCATGGAGTAGGGCTAGAAACCGAAATGTCCGAAAAGAGCCCAATTGACTTTAAGTAACTGAGACTAATCTGAAGGCAATTAATGAAGCCACAAGCATCCGACATGCCACTGGATTCAACAAAATGAGCAGATGCAAAATGATGGGGAAGGAGAACTTATATTGTTGGTTCGACCTCGTTTTCGCAGCTTGGTCGGAGCGTCAGAAAGACTTTGTGGAACGTACCCAGTCATGCGCCCTCTGCCACGGTATTCGCGATTAACACTATCGGACCATTTACTTGGTACATTCCCAAACATTTCGTCGGTGTCGTAGTCGGAATTGCAAATGAGAGGTGCCATTGTCAGCACAAAGTTACCGCTTATCAAAGTGAATAGTGAAATCACGAATAATATGGCAGAGAACACATAACTATATATTTTTTACACGGTCTCACTAACGCTCCAACCAAGTTGCGAAAACGAGGTCAAAACGACACTATAAAGCTAAAGGAGACTGTGGCCAAACCAAAAGCCACATCATCTTGGTCTTCATATCAAGAAGAATGTATGTTTACCGGACTGACTTTGTGCCACT